TAGGTAGTGCTCATAAAGCTATTTCAACAACAATGGTATATTTAGAAAATACCTAAAATTCCAACTCTTTCTTGTTTTCTGAATGTGTAAGGAGGTGGTAATGAGATTTTCATGTTCTTCAAAATAATGCATGTTTGAAAAGTTGAATAAAACTTCTGTATTATAAGAATAAAGAAGGAAACATGGTGACCATCACACACTCAAAGTTCATGTTCTCAAAATAAGTACTAAGCCTATGGAGTTGGGAATTCTAGGAGATTAAGTCAGGCACTGTTTAAAAAGCAAAGTTCAATATAGTGGTAGAACTGGTCTAGAAATCCTATTTTCTACAGAAATAGTTCCAAGTACGTTACTTTCTCATCTGTGGAGAGCACTATGATACTGTCCAGTCTGCAACAAATGGCTCAAGAGAGATAAAAATCTGATTTTATCCCAAGACACATTTCACATCTTCCTTCAAAACATCCATCACCTCAAAATCCTTATAAGAAGAAATTATTCATTGAAGAATAGTGGACGTGACAGTTTCTGGTATTCACTTCATACTGTGTGAACTGGTTCCAGAATGGTCTCAGACATCCTCCATCTCAAAGAGTATTAAGTAAAGAACAGAACTAATTTGAATAATTTATAAACAGGTTCTGTATCAGGTATCCCTGAGGCAAACTCAAGATTGTAATTTTTTACATGACCCTGCTGGGTTCACTGGATAATTAATGGAAAATCGAGGCAAGAACTTTGTTATTTAGACATTTGAACTGCAGGAAGCAATCTAAAAAAGTTTAAAACAAAAAAAGAAACACCCTCAGTGACATTTTTCTTGACTAACATTAGGAACAGAGAGAGGAATATAAGTTGTACTCATGGCATAGATCTGATGTACTACAAAAGAGAAACAAAATTATGAAAAAAATCCTAATATCAAGCACCAGGAGTCACTCTTTATAATATTTTAAAACTTTTTAAACAATCAATATATTTTATGATCATGGCAGAAAGTCTACAAGAAATATTAAAGTTTAAAAGGAATATAAAACATCACCATTCACTATTCATCTTTTTTATATCCTAATTATTAACCTTTAGTTTCATCTTCCTAGATGCTTGCACAGATGTATGTAAGGATGTGTGTGTGTGTGATTCATGTGAGTGTGTGTGTACAAATACACACACACACACACACACACACACACACACACACACATACTTACACATGTGCCTGCAGGGTTTTGAGATACACTTTTCACCAAATGTATGGTATTCCAATGCATGGTTAGGCTCTGATTTATTTAACAATTTCTCAACTGTTAGTTTTCTGGGTTGTAAGGTGTATACTTAATAACTTTACATTAAAAAATTAAACACCATACTTGAGCATGTCCTATCACACCAATTTTTTGTAAAACACGCATATGGGTAATTTTAGACATAGGTGGAAGAAAGACCGGAAAAAATACTTCTAGAGTGTGGGATTTACAAATAATATAGGTTCTTTGTTATGCTTTTTGAACTTATCTAAATGAACACATGACATGTATAACAGGCAATATGATAATCTGAAAACCATGTAGTCATTTACTAATCTGAAAACCATGTAGTCATTTACTAAAACAAAGGCCAACACTTAGATGAACAGACAACATTAAAATTCAGTAATCTAACACTTAAGTGAAAAAAAATGTAGGTTGTAGGAATGCATAAATGTATTAAAAGGAGAAAAAAAAAAGAAAATGTAGACATTCAACACCAAGAGACATTGCAGAACAAAACTGTGGTTCAACCACTACAGCTCAGAATATATCACCAAGTCACAAGAGCAAGGTACGTTTTTGTTTCATTTGATTCAACTATGGGGGGATGGGAGGGAAGTGAAGGCAGAAAGAGAGAACAATCCACGCATGTGTTGCACACACTTGGGAGGATACATTATCAATCATAGTTACTTCTGAGTATACCGTGTGAACACAATGATATGAAAACGAGCATTAATAAAGAAATAATATACTTACTGATATATGACATTTCATATTTATGGCAATAGTAAAAATCCTACTTCTATTTTACATACTATCTGGCAGTAACAAACATGGAGATATGAGATGAGACTGATGCTGGATATGAAATATGAACGTCATGTAGAAGTTAGCAAGGCCATGGTTCTCTGTGGTTTGGCAGTCATGGAATGAAGTTACGTTATTCTCCTTTTTGTGACTGGATGTGGTCAATCTGTCAGTTTCAAATAACACTGATTTTCACATAGCAACTGCTAATCATGTTACCAAGTAAGGAGTGAGTATGTATTTAAAGTGTACTGCTTGGAGCAAAAAGATAAGGGCAATAAAGGGGGATAATTTCAAAGCTGTCCCTTTAAAGATTTTTAAAGCAAAACCTAAAAGTGGATATGGGAGGGGAAAAAAATAGAAGATTAAGTCTACCTGGCTTACAGAGACTCTGAAATAACAATAAAAAATCCAGCAGTGGATAAGGATGCCATTGTAAATGGTATTTCAAAGCCCAGTCATACAAGTTTTATTACTAAAAGAAGCTGGTCAGGAAATTGATTATTAAAGAAATATAACTTCTATGTAAATCATTCTAGAGCTTGCTGAAACATGAGTGATTTCACTCCAAAATTTTCATGCCATATTTACTCCATTTACAAACTCAATAATCCAGCTGTGGAATATAGCTTTGCACAGCTGGGCAATAATAAATGAAAGAAAGACTTTCTACATGTTAAGATGTTTTCTAAAAAAAAGGAAATCATTTCAGGGGCAAGTGGGTTAGAACCTCAGAAACATCAAAACATTCTCTTAACAAGATGATCATTACTAACTATTCAAATCACTCACTGCCTCAAGCAGGAACTCTCAGCTGACCCTTCAGTGGGCTTTCAGAGGCTATCAACAGCATGGGTGGAAACAGTCTCCTCTCAAAGTGCCACAAGTGAATTCAAACTGACAGAGAGGTGCTGCCTTTGGGTTCGCACAATTCCACAAGAGCTCCCTAATGAAGATAGTCACTACCATCTATCCCTTTAATAAAAACTACTTCATTATTTTAATGCACCAGCTACAGACTAGCAACTGTTGCCCTAGAATTTCTAAAAATCAGATTTAATAGATTAATATTGCATTTCTATATTTGCTGAAGTAAAATAATTAAGAAGAGTTGTTAACTGGCAATTTTTTAAATGTATATAGTTGGCTTTCAAACTCTAAAACGGTTTTTTTTCTTCTTTCATTAACACTAATGTGTTTTACCCGAAAACATGTATTCATGACTATAATCAAGCACCATGACAGCCACCTAATCATCCTGGTAACAATCATAATTTCACCAGAGAGAATTCAAAACCATACTAGATAACAGAGTAGAAGCACTGTCATTAACTTTCACTTTACACCTGAGATCTGACAGTTCACCTTCCATTGGCCCCTTCAGTTTGAAACTTTTGGAAATGTGTTTAGTGCCATGCTTATTTATAGGCTTCCTTTTCTTTCTGGGCAAATCATCCTTTTCCACTAAGTATGCAGATTCAAGAGGGGTTTTAGTGGAACAGAGAGGCAAGACGACACATTAATCCTGGAGATCTGAAAGGTGATAGATCACAGCTCTTACTACTCAGGTATCTATCTGGGTGATAATGTTAAGAATGTTGTTTTATCCAAAACAAAAAATCTAGGGCAGAAAAGGAAGGCAAGACCGGAACACGACTCTCACTTTTAGTGAAAGTGTTTTTGCCTGTGACACCATTACCTTCCTAACGCACACAGACTGGAGGTTTTGTGCTGACAGTTCATAGTTTTACCACTCACGCAGGTGTCATTGCACACTACTGACAATGCTACTTTTAAAAACGATCTGTTTAGGGAGCTCTGGTGGTCTAGTGGCAAGAAGCTGCACTGCAATCCTAGAGGCACAAGGTTCGAATCCACCAGGTGCTGTTGGAGAAGGAGGGGCAATCTCCTCCTGTACCAGTCAGATCTGATTTGACGGTATACACACACAAAAGTAGTAAAATAATAAAAAACAAAACAAAACAAAACAAAAAAACACCAACCCCACCGATCTGTTTAAGGAAACGGCCCGAGTAACCCCGGTAAAATCAATAAGTAGGGGGAGCTCTGGGGGCCTAATGGCAAGAAGCTTCACTGCACTCCCGAAGACGTCCAGTTCGAATCCACCAGCCGCTTCGCGGGAGGACAGGCAACCTCCTCCCGTGCATTATCTGCCTCTGCAAACCTGCGGAGGGTCGGTTCTGACTCTACAGTACACAACAACGACAACAAGGCCTGATCGAGTCACCATGTTCCGCTGCATCCTGGAGACCGAGGCAACTTTCCTTCATTTACTCAAGGTTATCTTTTCCAAACATTACCTCTTACCACTGTGGATCGAAATTTTTTAAGTCCACCACGCCCTCAGCAGCCTTAGAACGGAAGTACCCTCGAGGAAATGCTGAAGTGGATGTTTGGAAAGGTCAGGAGTGACACAGGAGAGGAAACTATCTGTCAAAATCAAGTAAATTCAGGTCTATCAAACCCAATTCTAGGCCTTTTCTGTCTTTTCTCTGCCGCCTCGCTGGCCTAGACACCCAGGTAACGCCGATGTGAATTAACACCTGCCGCCGCACACCCAGCTTCCAAGGAGTCAGGATTTCTTCCCTCAAAAAGCTCAAATGCTGCCTCTACCATCGCCTCTTCCGCAGGCTTTGCCCTCAAGCCCGTCCTAACTTTAGAAGCTACGACCTGGCACAGAAAAGGCCGTGCGGAGGAGTCCCGGGCAGTCTCCTCCGGCTCCGGCCCGTCCTCCCAGGGCAGGAGGGATGAGAGCGGCCTCCTGAACCAGCTTTGGCCAAGGCAGCGCCCGCAGTCGCCGCCCCCTCGAGGGGTCCTGGCCTGGCTGTCCCGAGAAGGGGCCCGTCGGGGCCTCCGCCATCCCGCAGGCGCGCCGCGCCTCCGGCCCCGCCGCTCTCGAGTCGCCGTCCGAGCCCTTACCCTCAAGACGTGGTAGCCTTCCGTGCCCCCGCCTGGGATCTCGACGCTCTGCGTGGAGCCCATGGCGGTGGCCGCAGCGGGCGATCCGTGTGGCCGGGGTCCACGCTGCTCCCCGCCCCCCCGCACACAGCCCGCTCGGCTCCTCCGCGTAGCACTTGGGACGTGGCACTCGCTGCCGCTGGAGCGCCGGGCCGCACAGCCCACTGGGAGATCGTCGCCGCGGCAGCCGCGGCCGCTGCGACGCCGCAGACAGCGCCACCTGCCGCGCGCAACTGGGTTGGGTCCGGGCGCGCGCAGGGAGGGAGGGAGGGTTAGGAGGGAGGGAGGGAAGGGTTCTCTTGCTCGCGAGACCACAGAAATGTGATTCATCTAGTCTCAGTACCTTGCTACGGGGCCCTACGTTGGACAAGATTTACCTAGACGCGTTCCTTCTTACTCGAAAAAACGTGTTCTTGGCTACAGCGCCCCCTGGCGACCAAAGCCTGAAGGGCTGGACAGCTGGAAAGAATGACGGTGGAAACCAATCCCGTGAGCTCGGTAATCCCTAGATTTGCTGCTGAGGATCTTGCCTTTGGAAGCTAAATGCTACTACATCTGCTTAGTCCACGTATAAAGGAAAACTAAACTTGCCATTTGAAAAACAGCTGTCCCAATGAATCATGGAGGTCTAAAAAAGTTTTTGTTTTGTTCTGTTTGCCCTCCATTGAATGTGAAAGTCTACTGTCTTGTTGGTCTAGTGTGATGTCTGGTTTTGTTGCTGTGTTGCTGGAAGCGATGCCGCTGGTATTTCAGATACCACCATCATCACCCATCGTGAACAGGTTTCAGTGGAACTCAGACTAAGAGAAGAAAGAGCAAAAGTTTGGGTGATCTGCTTCTGAAAATTAGCCAGTGAAAACCCTAAGAATCACAGAATATTGCTCAAGACATGAATTTACTTTCTTTGGATATCAGAAGAGATTACTCTCTAGAGAAAAAGATAATTTTCCATGACATGGAAGGCCAGCCAAGGTGAGAGAACATTTCAGTGACATGGATTGACAGTGACTACATTGTACTCAAACACATCAATAACCATGAAGATAGTGAAGGAAAACTTTCGTTTTGTTAAACTTTATACTAGGTTTAACTTAGACCATGACTCAGGGTAGACTCAGTAGCAATTAGCAATAACAAATAAATAGATAATTAAAATCTCGGAATAATAGACTCCTTAGGACGGAGACTACAATGGACTCTGCTCTTTTCCTCCTAATAATTACTGTGGTCTTGACACCTTGTTCAGCAAATTAATAAATTTAGTGAAAGAAATTAGATATAGAACTGAATTTAATGACAATGTCCTTGTTCTGCGTGGTAATTGTTATCCTCTTTATAGTGATTTTAGAAACTATTGCTGTGTCCAGTGGTCAAAATATTTTCATCAGTTATTTCTCAGACATCTGACACTAGGTAGAGTCTGCAGTAACTGGGCTATCGACCACTTTTTCTGTAAAGAATAATTGGTTCTTTCCAGCCATATATAAATTCTTCATTATAACTATACTGCATGTTTTAACTGTGTATGCTATTCATTCTCTAGGGTCTTTACTTTCTTACATTCCTGACTTTATTCATTCTAACCCCATTTGTCTGAAATTCCCTCCCTTAGATTTTCAATTACTTTTTGCAGTAGGCATTCCTACTGCCAATGATCTTTTGTAAGTGTTGAAAAGCAAAGATGTCACTTTGAAGACTGAGGTGGGTCTGGCCCAGCCCATGGTTCTTTTCTGTACTCTAATCAGGAGGATAAAGTTGGATGATGAATAGGAAAGACCAAAGAAAAATTAGTGCCTACGAATGATGATGTTGGTGACAAATACTCAATAGCCCATGGACTGCCAACAAATGAACATTTATATGTCTTGGGAGAAGTGCAATTAGAATGTGTCTTAGAAGTTAAGATGGTGAGAGTTCATCTGACTTGCCTTGGGCATGTTTTCAGAAGGGACAAGTCCCTGATAAAGCACATCATGCCTGGTAGAGGGTCAGTGAAAAAAAAAAGTAAGACTCTCAGTGAGATGGATTGCCACAGTGACTGTGACAATGGGCACAAGCAACAGTTGTAAGGGTGATACTGGCTCAGGCAGAGTCCCATTCTTGTTCTGATCACTCTGAGTCACCAACTCAACAGCATTTAACAACAAACAATAACACATTTTCAACTTAGAAAAGACCTAACTGCCCCTTAAGACCCATCGCAAGTGTTACTTATTAATCTCAACATTCAGAATTGTTTTCCTCACTCTTTAGTTTCTTTATTTCTCATCATTGCCATTACAAGTCTGTCTTCCTTTATTCATAGTCCATTCATTCAGGGTGAAGATCCTGGGTTGGTTTTTTTTTTTTTCATCTTTAGATCACCAATATGTAGTTGTGTGTCAGGAACATACCAGTAATGTTTGTGCTTTGAATGAAATAAGTGTGTTGGAAACCTTCAAAATGCTTTCATTTTTAAGGGTAAGTTAATAAGTTAGCTCTGCTGCTCCTATTTGCACCTCCTCAAAACCTGTGTAATTTCATTAGTGGTATTAGACATCAGGTGAGGTACAAGGTTCATCTAATGTGCACCTGGGGTGGGGGTGGGGGGCCGGAATGTTTAACCATTTCTCCACTTCACCTAGTGGTGATTGATTTTTTTTTTTCTTTCTTTTATTAGAAATAGTTCAAACAGAGGCCAGGGAATAAATCCTAAAGGTATTGCCAATACAAATACAAAGACTAACAGCATGATGGAGAACACATGGGAGGTAATTTCCCAAGTCATTCTCAAAAGGAGTATAAATTTGTTGCAGGCAAGTTGTTTTGAAACATCATAATACCATCATCTTTGCTACTGCATCCAATTCAACCCACAGGACAGAAGAGAGCTGCCTCATAGGATTTGCAAGACTATAAATCTGTGTGGAAACACACAGCTCCATCTTTCTGCTGTGGGGTGCGTGGTAGGTTTGACTGCTGGGAAACAAGACTCTTATTTGAAGTAGCCCCGACAGCAGAAAAGCAAAGCCTAGCAAAAGGAAATGTCTAAAAATGAAAACAAATCAAACCAGAAGAAATTTATTTTGTTTGTAGAAGCATCTTAGACACAAATTTGTGTGTCTATTCCAGGTTTTATTAATCTGAGTTGTCATAAATAAACAATTCATTACAGAAAGATTATTTGTATGTATCACACTAGCTGGTGCAGCCTAATCTTTTTGCTTTCAGACAGTCTGGGGGAAGTTTGGTTCCTGCTGCATTTGTGAGCTGACAACAACAGAAGGAGGGGTCAGATTGAAGTCCTCCCTCCTCTGTAGCCCATTCTCAACTACTTTGTTTTGCTGAAGGAGCACACTGGGAGAGGGGCCATATTCTGTGCCTTGGAGACCCTGTCATGGCTGCATACACTAGATAGGAACCCTTGACCTATGGACAACCACCACCTCTTCCTACCAATGTTCCAATCACTTACACAGTAGCCTGTTGGGAAAATCCTGCCCTAAAAAGGAACGATACTGACAATTAGGTCAATCAGATTTTTTTTTTCCTTTGGGACTGGAAACTGAGAAAAGGAGAGACCTTGTCAGTGTATATTTATTTGTGTGTCTTTGCTTTCCTACTGGTGTATATTTAGTGTTAATGAAGGCTGGCATAGAATAGTTGCTCAATAAACAGTTCCTAAATGAATGAAAAAATGGCTATGTTGATAATCATGCTAGTCGAAAAGTACTAAAATAATGTTCTCAAGCTGGGGAATTGTTACTTATTAAAATGTATCCTTCTAATGTAAACTAAAAAATAGAATGATTGCTGTTGATTCTGGCTCACAGCAACACTATAGGACAAGTTGAATTGGCCATAGGATTTTCAAGCCTGGAAATCTTTACAGAAGCCCACTGCTTTATCTTTCCCCTGCAGAGCACCTGGTACCAATCTTTCTGTTAACAATCAAAGGCTTAGCTGCTGCGCGATCTGAGCTCCTCTCGTCAAAATATGTATTGTAAATTCTAGCTTCCATGCCTGTGGTTTATCTCAAAATCCTCTTTGAAATTTTTTACTTCATCATTTCTTCCTTTCACTTTGCTTCCTTACATACTTAGACCAAATTTCAAAGCATCTTCTTACATTCATTTTTTACTTTTCCTCCCTTTCCTTTCTTTTATTTGTATTTTACTTTCTTTGTGTATGATGTCATTGATGTCATCCCACATGTAACTGGTCTGATTACTAGTTATGTGGTGTGATGGTTTTACTATTCAGAATGACTTTCCTAGCCATTGATTTTTACTTGTCCATGTGGAAGGGTGAGAATATATATAAATAGGATGTTTTAGTCTATCCACACAAGGATTGTCTAGTCCAACAACTAAATTGAGCAGACTCAGCAGCAGATTCAAGAACCTCACCACCAACAAAGAAGAAGAGAATGTAGTATGTTCTTTGAGGCCAGAGATTCTTGCTCCAGCCAGATCAGGGTCGATAGGAGCAGAAGCTATAACAGCAGCAGAAGAGAACCAGAAACCTGATGGAGAACCAGAGACCTGCTGTGAGATCTAGTGGGATTTGGAGCTACTACACCATTTGACATTGTACACTATGTACAACATTTAGATAACAGAGATGGCAAAGGAGGTTGAGTTTTCAAGCATGGAAATACAAAGGAAGAGGAACAGTT